ACAGAGAGAGACACAGAGAGAAAGAGACACAGACAGAGACAGAGACACAGACACAGACAGACAGAGAGACAGACAGAGAGATGAGACAGAGAGACGAGACAGACAGAGAGAGAGACAGACAGAGAGAGAGACAGACAGACATAGAGACAGACAGACATAGAGACAGACAGACATAGAGACAGACAGACATAGAGACAGACATAGACAGACATAGACAGATGTAGAGAGAGAGATAGAGAGATAGAGAGGTAGAGAAAGAAAGAGAGAGAGAGAGAGAGAGAGAGTTCAACCCCAGGGCCTCCAATGGCTTTTTCTGTCCTATAAGCATGCATGTGATACATAGACACACATCGAAACAAAATATTCACACACAAAATAATTTTTTTCCTTTTGTTTTTTTTTGAGACAGTTTTTCAGAATTTCTCTGTGTAGCCCTGGCTATCCTGGACTCACTCTGTACACCAGGCTGGCCTGAAACTCAAGAGATTCACCTGCCTCTATGACATGCACCACCACGCCCAGCAGGACATTTTTTTAAAAGAAACTTTTGTAGGACCAGGTAGTGTATTATCTTCAATCCCAACACTCAGAAGGCAGAGGCAGTCTGAGCTCTGTGAGTTAGACCACTCTAGTCTACACAGTGAGGTCTAGGCCAGCCAGGACTACATCATGAGATTCTGTCTCAAACACATGAGGTAGGGTTTGTGCAAAGATTTTCCAAGCCCTAAGACCCTCTTCTCCAGTACTCACAATGTCAGTGTTATACTTTTTTCTCAATATCTTTCTAATTTTTCTCCATAGTCTGTACCCAAATTCATGGATTAAGCAATAATAAACATTTCAAAGACAGGAAGATGTAAAACCACTTAGAAAACTTGTGTGTGTATGTGTGTGCATGTTATATGTATATTTATGTATGTGTACGTAGATTACATACCAGGACATATATGGAAATTAGAGAAGGGCGCCAGGTATCCTGTTATCCTCTTCTCCTGATTTCCTGAGAGAGTCTCTTATTGGACCTGGACTCAGGCTGGCTTGGATAGCAGCTGTCTAGTCCCAGTGACCCTGTGTTTCCATCCCCTACACTACTGGGGTTACAGGCACCTTTAGTCAATCTCACTTTTTCTTTGAGTGTCAGGGATTAGAATTCGGGACTTGCACATGCTTGCACATCAAACACTGCTACCAACTGAACCATCTCTCCTAGATCCGAGGAAAGAATTTTAACATATTTTTAAGAGAATGGATTAAAGAAATGTACATGAAATAGGTCAAAGGCTAAGGGATGGCCATGCTTATGGTATACTGTGATTGACTCTCAGGGTTTGCAGAGACTCCAAGATGGCAAGTTAAGATTGGGCAGTCATGGGCCCTCAAATTGGCAAGTGTTCTGTTCTATGTGACTATTCCAGATTTGGGGGTCACTTACCAAGACAATCGGGCTATACTTTGTAAAGACAGCTTTCACTGTTTGACAGGGAAAGAGCAGCTTGTTAGTCACCAGAGCGTCCCTGTTGTGACAGTCCCACAGTTTGATAGTTTGGTCTATATCTTCAGTGACCGCAATCTGCATCTCAGGGAGGGTTGTCAACATCTTGATGTAGTTGGGCTGTTCTGGGCTTACCCAGGTCACAACACCCTGGGGAACAAGAGCATCATCATGTCTGAGCACCTCCAGTTCAACTGCTTTCACACAGCAGCTTTATTTGGAAGCCTCATCCAGAATGGAACCCCTTCTTACTTACAAGAAAAGAGTATGAAATTTCTAAGCATCTCTCACTGGACATGGTAGCACATGCCTAGCATCCCAGCCCAGGGAGGCAGAGACAGAATGCTCTCTAGAAGTTTGAGTCCAGGCTGGTCTACAATGTCAAGTTGCAGGCCAGATGGAACTACATTACAAGACTAGATCATAAAAAAAAGAAAAAGAAAAAGAAAAAGAAACACAGGGCTGGAGAGATGGCTCAGCATTTAAGACCACCAGCTGTTCTTAACAAAAGGACCTGTGTTCAATTCCTAGCACACACATGGTAACTCACAGCTGTCTGTAACTTCAGTTCCTGGGGACATGACACCCTCACACGGACATACATGCAGGCAGAATACCTATGTACATAAAATTAATAAGAAACACAAAGAAGAAAAACAAACATCTAGATTATCTGAGGCAGGAGTGTACAGGAAAATAGGATACATATATTGTGCTCAGAGGCAAACACACACTCACTAATCAGACCAGAAAGAACATGGCTGTCAGGATGGCTCACCAGGGAAGGGCACTTGCCACTAAACCTGATGACAGGAGTTCAATCCTCAGGAACCACATGGAAGGGGAGTTCTAACTCCCACAAACATGTGTGAAAAACAATCAGCAGCCCTGTGATCAAAGCCATTTCACCTTTACTAACAGTGCAAGCAGAGAGCGTGTGCCTATTGTCACTTCTAGTGGGGCTAGATTTCTTGTTGTTTTTGTTTTAGAGACAGCTTCACTCTATATTCCTGGCTTTCCTGGAGCTCACTATTTAAATCAGACTGGCTTCAAACTTGAAGGCCTCTGCCTCCTGAGTGCTGGAGTTAAAGGCCTGGGCCACCACTTCTGGCAGTATTACGTTTTATAACACATGAAACAAACCTATTTACACTGAATCAATTCCAAAACTGGTTATTGTATGATCAATTCTTATACATTGCAAATGAAAAAACAGGTTGTTTCCCAGGCTTTTCTTTAGCTTTAAGAAAAAAAAAATCAAGGAGCTAGAGACATGGCTCAGTGGTTAAGAGGACCTTCTCCCGGACAAACAGAACCAACCAATTTTAAGAATGGATTGATGTTCACTCCATTAGACTCTTTTATCTTTTAAAATAAAAAAATATTTGAGAGAATGGAGGATAGTGAAGAAACACATATGGAGTTATCAGCATTCACCCAGTTCTCTCCTCCAATGGCTCAGCAGCTGGTTGTCCCACAACTCAGAGCACACAAGAGAAAAATACTCTTGCATAAACCAGCAGGGACTGCACAGTGGGAATCTAGTGTCATAATGCTGAGACAAGCCATGAGTAATGTCCTCAAGAGCCACAGTCATGGCCAGTCCTGTGTTCTTTCCCACTTGTACTAGGGTCCCCACCATCCCTCTCCCAGGACATCAACTGGGCTCCTAGCACTCACAGCACCATAGAAAACAGAGATGCTCTACCTACACAGTGTGCTGCTGCCAGATCAAGCAACACTGCCACAGCTCTAGCCGTGTTTCCTCCCCTGAGACACACAGCCCAGGAAGGTCTCAAGAGAACTCTGCTCAGTACAAGCCACACCTTGTTCTGTTTAGCTCCTGGGGTGTTGTACCCCAATCTTTAGTAGACACTATCAGAGAAAGAATCATGTGGAGAACAGCTGTGTCAATTGCTCCACACCCACCCTGAGAGAGAGCACAGCTCCATTGTGCTCCCCAGTCAAAGAGTGGGGGCCCATTCTCCTAGAGCCACAGGCAATGAGAGGGCAGGGCCAGCTCTCCTGACTACCGTAGGTAGTTAATTGAGGGAGGGCATCACCCCCACATCCATGCCAGCAGATTGGCTCTAAGCATATCTGTAGTGTATTTCTCTAACCATCAGTGTAGAAGGACTCAGCCCACTGTAAGCAGTGCCATTGCCATCATCAGGGTGGGAAGACACAGCTCACTGTAGGCAGTGCCACTACCAGGTTGGTGGTCCCTGGGTGATATAAGAAAGCTAACTAAGCAAGCCATGGAGAGGGAGCCATAAAGAATAACCAATCCTTCATGGCCTCTGCTTCAGTTTCTGTCTGAGCCTCCTCTGATGAACTAACCTCCGAGTTCTTTCCTCCAAGTTACTTTGGGTCATAGCCTCTTAACACAGCAAAAGAAAGCACACTAAGATACAAACATGTAGCCAAACTATATTATGTGGTAAATGTTAGTTCTCAAGACTATCCAGAAATGAGATCAACCTGGATTATGGAATTATTGACAGTTAGATAAAAGCCATTGGTCCTCAGGAACTTCTGAAACAAGTTCCCATCTGCCGAAAGTATCTTTAGCCTTGTTTTTGCTACTGTTATTAATTTACAATGTACTCTCTTTACTTACTAGATACATTCTAGAACAAATAGAGACAGACTGTCTAACTCCAATATACTTAATAGATACTGGCTCTCATTCCTGTCAGAAATCTGCTGAAGGTAATGTTAAATGTTACTATGGTAACTATGTTACTATGCTTTTCTAATGTTAAAGCTTACTATGATAGACAGAGACTATCAAATCCTGACAGTGAACCCCCAACTCCCCAGATCTCTGAGTGACATGGGCACAGTGACAACAAGACTGCCTAGACTGTGATATGATAACCACTGAGAAACACCTCTCCATTGCCTTGCCCACTGCCAGGGCTTGGTCTAAACTGTGGACAGAGGATACTCAGAGAGTTACATGTCTCCTATTGCCTAAGAGAAGTGACTCATTTCTCACACATTCCTTCCCCACAGGAAAAAGCTTCTCATCTTCTAGGCCTGATGGCCAGACTACCTCTGCCTGAGGAACAGTGGAATTGTCCACTGCAGATCCCATGAAATGGATGTCTCTATTGTCTCCAAGGGAAAAAACCGAGCTGCCAAGATAGCTAGAGCTGTTTCACCTACCACAGGACATTCTTACACTCCTCCAAGCTCCTTACTTCCTTGACATCCCCCCTCATAAATAACAATAACCTGTCATTTCACCTTCTGCTTCAGACCCTGAGCTCGGCCCACCAACTCCTTAATGTCATGCCACTTGGGCACTTTAAAGTTGCTGACTATGTGTACCCCCTGAACTAACTCACCATTGCCACTTACAGCTTCTCCAGTGACCCTGCCAAGTAATCTTACTTCTCCTTTCACCAGCTGCCCTGACTCTGGTGTTGCCACGACCCCATACCTCTTCTCTATCACTCTGAACTATAGACTTAAGGTGTTTCTCATGCTAATCTATATAAGCAGCTATCATATTCAAAAGGTCAAAATTTCAAGTTTGCTTTGTCTTTTAAACAGAGTAGTGCGTATCTCCTGGACCCTTGGTAAGTGTGCTCCCTTGTCTTTTAAGACAATAACTCAGGGTTGGGGATTTAGCTCAGTGGTAGAGTGCTCGCCTAGCAAGCACAGGGCCCAGTGTTCGATCTTCAGCTCCAAAGCAAAAAAAAAAAAAAAAAAAAGACAAGATAACAAAATGACAATAACTCGAGGAACCCAGCGCTATGATAGAGTGTACACAGACATACACAATGGACGGATGCATGTATACATACTTGATCACACACATACAAAATGGATATATTTATATACACACAGAGACACACACATATAAAATGGGTATATGTATATACACACACAGACACACACATACAAAATGGATATATTTATATATGCACAGAGACACACACATACAAGATGGATATATTTATATACACACAGAGACACACACATACAAGATGGATATATTATACACACACAGACACACTTTTTAAACTATGCTCTCTACTTATTCAAACTGAAAATAGTTTTGAGGACTGCAGACCCCACCCCTGACTTCCCTACTACAGAGTTGCAGGGTTGAATGTGAGGCACCCAGCAAAAGCAAAGCAGCCTGAAGAGGGGACAACAGGCCACAGTGCAGGCCCAGAAAGGAGCCAGAGGCCTCCTTGTGCTACACTTTTCTCAATTTTCATTCTTACTTCTTCCTTCCTTCCTTCCTTCCTTCCTTCCTTCCTTCCTTTCTTTCTTTCTTTCTTTCTTTCTTTCTTTCTTTCTTTCTTTCTTTCTTTCTTCCTTTTTTTCTTTTCTTTGTCTTATTTTGAGACAGGGTTTCAGTATCTAGCCCTGACTGACTAGCCTGGATCTTTATATATATAGTCCAGACCTCAAACTTAGAGATCTGTCTGCCTCTCCTCCCAAGGGCTGGGGTGAAAGATGTGTACCACAGTCCTTGGCTTGGACTTTCTGTTTGCATGTTTGCTGAGCCAGAGGATGGCCCTGGCTTCTTTCTCTGAGTGACTGATTTAGATGTTCACATGCAGAGCTGTTATAACTCCTTGTAATAGTCATGAGGCATTGCTACCACAGACACAATAACAATGGATATTTTCCATCCATGAAGGAGATCTGATAATCTTTACAATGTATAATTGTTTAAGGTGTGTGACTGAATGAAAGAGGACAAATTCCTATGATCCAGGCTGGCCTAGAATTCACTGTGGAGTTTAGATTGGCCTCAAACATGAAATCTCTTGCCTGCTGAAGCAAGAAAAGGGCATTTGACCTCCTGGTACTGAGGTTACAGACAGTTGTGAGTGGTACTGACACCATGTGGGTACTAAAAATCAAACCCAGGTCCTTTGGAAAAGCAGCCAGTACTCTTAACCACTGAGCGACGTCTCCTGTCCCTAAACAGATACTTCTTCTGTTTGCTGAGCCAGAGTATGGGGTGTGTGGGAAAATACACTCTCTCCCAGGTATAGACACTGCTTATCTGACAGTGGCAGGGTCCTGTTCTCTGCAGGGACACTAGGAGACAATGCACTCCTTGTCTCTGCCAACGTCCCAGAAGCTACCCAGGCATCCCTGGACCTGAGAAGCATCACACT